ATAATTAAAAAGGCTTTATATATTTTCTTTAATAATATTTTTTTAATGTACCGATTTTTCCAGTTTTCCTATGTTTTTCCCGGTTTTTCCATGTTTTATCTCGGATTTTTACATTTGCTGGAAAAATCAAAAAATGACCTCTCTGAAGTACCTCCTCACACCGATTTCCTTTTAGAAAAAGGTGTTTACATTAAAAAAATCTGAGCAAGTCTTCCAGTGTAAAAATTGTACACGGATAAAAAAACAATTAGCAACTTTGTAAAACCATAAGGTACTGCTTTGCTTCACTAAGAATTTAACATTTCTCATAATGTATTATTTCGTCCGTCAATTTATACAGTTGAACATATTTGCATTCATGAAGTTGTCATTAATATTTCCACTTTTTATATTTTTTTAAACCTATAGTTGACCGATTACAGATTTCATGTATGTTCGTGGTCGTTATTTTTATTACAGGATTCTCTAATGTACCTCAAGAAAATAATATTATGCCTTTTCACACGCCGGTACCGGAGTCTATCGAATTCTCATATAATCGCACAATAATGACTTGACATATCTGGCTAGCCCATAAAGATTAAATTCAAATTCAAATCTTAACTGAACAAGAGTAAGTATAAAACTCTAATAATTATATAGGTAACGTGCGAACAAGTTAGCGATTAATTTCTTTTCAGTGTGGGGTGAGGGGGTTTATGACAATTATTTTGAATTTAATTCTATTTAGATCGTAATAGTTTTCGGTACATTTTGACCGTACGATAGATAATACCGTGGTCTAATAATATACTTGAGAAATACAAAATATATATAATTATATGTGAAAAAACATATGTTAGTAGTAAATATGTATGCATATAAAAAAAAAAAATTAATTAAAATAGTATACCTAAGACAAAAGTATTTAAAAAAAAAAAAAATATGTCAATAAAAATTACTTAAACCTCTTTTTTTGGGACTGAAGACATATCATTCACCCGTGATGACACCGGTGTTGGTGATGGATTTTTATTTTTACTTTCATAGACTTCATATAATAGGGGTGCCATTTCGGGGAATCAGTAAGTGCACTCAGTCGCCTTGCAATTTATATTTATAATTATATTTAGCCAGGGTGTTAATAGATACTTTAGCTGTGGCTTAAATATCATTATAGTATTTTTATTATTAAAATGTTGTGCGGCTGCATTACATTTCGACAATTTTTCAGAACAATAAACGGAGCGGTGACCGGTTGTAGGTGTGTGGAAATTGGCCACATAAAATGCTCGTGATTTACAATCGATTACAACTGCGGCTATTCAAATTTGATAAACTTCGAGACGGGCCTGAATGCGATTACGGTAGCAAAAGCCAGACAGTGGCACACATTGCTGGTACATTCTTATTGCCCAAGATGAATATTTCACGGAGTAATAATAGACATTATGGAGTTAACCACAAAAGTCCTAGAACGCACTGTTAACTTAAATACCGCATTTATATTAAAAAAAAAAATTTTTTTTTGTATTTCTACTTTTTACTGTTGTACTTTTGTTTTATTTTTATTTATTTATTTCAACACAATTTTGTTATTTCTTTGTCTTTTACACCATACGACAATAATAATAATAATAATAATAATAGGTATTTATGGTTTTTAGAATAACTCGGATTTTAGAATTACAGAAATAAATGCTTTTTGCATTTTAAAATTTAAAACGACCCTGGACGGTTCGCTGTTTGAACGTTTGTTATTATTATTATATTTTTTTTTTTTGTACGTAGAGTACTTTAGTTTGTACATTGTTCGGGGGAACGTTGTGAGTACCTATACGGTACGGTCTAGCGAGTGACCTCGGATTTCCCCCCTCCCCCCATTCTCAACCGAGTGAACTTCGTGTATTGTTGTTAGAGGGGAGGGTGTGCAAGTCTGCAGCGGTAAACGACTTTACGCTTGGAACGCATCATCGTCACGCTCGCCTTCTACATAATATATAACCGGGGCCCGGAAGTTATAGGACAACAAACGTCGGTTTTTAGCGCTTTGACATGCAATCAAAAACGCGAGTGAGTAAGCGCTAAAAATGGGAAAACACACGAACTGAATCCGGTGACAAATATCATTTTATTCAATTGGTCGCGCGTTTTCGCGTGCCTACACACGTTCACTATGCGGCTGTGCGCGGTCCAGAATCTTTCCGATCGACGGATGCTTTGTAAGGTTATGACAATTCCATTTAACAGGTCGAACGGATCGTCGCGTTTCGGAAACCGGCGCCCGGCGCCCGGCACCCTTAATGTTATTGTTTGTTGTTGTTAAACACGCTGTCCGTTCGGACCGCTCCGAGCGCTCGTCGCGGCGGCGGCGACGCGAAGATTGAGAAAAAAAAAAAACAACAAACACAACCCGTATAGGTTAATGATATTGTATCGTCGTGTGCGGGGCGCAAGCGCGACGTAGTGGAGGGGTGGGGGTGGGCGGCGGCGGCGGCGGAAGGGCCGGCCGGGGAGGGAGGGGAGAGGAGGAGTAGGTACGACGGCCGACGGCGGACACACGGTACATAAATATAAACTGCGCGCACAATACACACGTATACGTATATACGCCGCACAGGTATATAATATTATGTGTGTGTATATATATATAAATATATATATATATTTATATATATATACCTACGTGTATATAATAGCGGGCCGTAATATCGCGAGCGCGGCGGCGGGGCGGGCGAAAGCTTCGATCCCGCGCGCGTATACGGAGTGCCGCGCGCCCGTCTCCATGGCGACCGCGTGTACCGCGTGCGGTTTGGCTTTTCGGACGCGTATAAGGGGCGGGTCGGGGTGCACCGCGGCCGGCGGCTGCGACGACGGAGACGGTCGGCCGGATGGCTGGCTGGCTGGCTGGCTGGCTGGCTGGCTGGCGGACGGACGTGAGGGTGTCGTCGTCGTCGTCGTCGTCGTCGTCGTCGTCGTCGTCGCCGTCGTCTCCGTCTCCGTTTCCGTTTCTCCGTCTTCACCGCGCGGTCTGCGCGCGCGGGGGCCAACGGTTATTTCTCCGCTATAGATATTTCTCACCGCCGCCGCCGCCGCCGCCGCCACCGCCACCGCCACCGCCGCCGCCACCGCCGTACCACCTTATCATAACTATATACGTGTACGGGCGCCATATTTGTTCTGCTGCCGGTCATCCCCTCGCGGCGGCGGCGCTTGTTATATTATCGGAAAAGTTCAATTGTCCCCGCGGCGGCGGCGGCGGCGGCGGCAACAACGCTCGGCTGCCGTACAGAGACGACGACGACGACGGAACCGGCCGCCTCCGCCGTCGCGCGGCCGCCACACGCGCCGCGTACGCACACACGCGGTCCGCGCGTATATACGCGCGCGTCGTCACGCGCGTTTCGCGCGCGCGAGCCGGCCCGATATCGACTCGATCGCGCGCGCTTTACACACACACACACACACACACGCACACCCCGAACGCTGCCGCCCCTACCGCGGCACCTATACGCGACTTCTCCGGCCGCGCACCGTCGCCGGCCGTCCGCCCGTCCGCGTATAACATAACACATCATCTCGGGGGCCGTCGACGGGGCGCGCGCGAGAGAAGTACTCGGCGGGGCGTCTTTCGCCGGCGCTGCGCACCTATATACATGTACACGCACGTACGTCTATATTGTTATGTCCCTCGCGCTCGGACCTTCCCGCCCGGCGCGCGTCCCGCCCGGTTTTTATTTTTCGTTTCGACAGTCCGGGCGGACAATCGCCGCCGCCACCTCCGCCGCCGCTGCCGCCGCCCCCGTTGTATGTACCGCGACTACCGCCGTTACCGCACCGCCGCTACACCGGCCGCCACACGCGCACGCACACACACACACACACGCATACACACACACGCACACACACACACACACATATATATAATATAATACACGCGGACGCCACTTTATTATTATATTTACACACTGGCCACAGTCTCGCGTATTGATCCGTTCGCACAAACGCACGCACACGCCTCTTACCGTGTATCATATACTCGCGGGAGTCGTATATTATACCGCGGTGTCCGATCGGGCGGCCCCCGGGTTTTCCGTTTTATCGCGTTTTCCCCGTTTTACGGACGACGCGACGACGACAATACGAAATTACAATGCGCGGCATCGCTTTTCACGGGACGGCCGTTTAGGCGCAGAACGGCCGATTCAAGGGCAACAGTGGTGTTCGCCCGAAATATCAACCCGAGGCAGAGAGAAACGTATGCGCCGCTAAAAATAAAACGGACCCGAGAAAAACCTATAACACCCCGAGAAATTTGCCGACGGTTAAAAAAAATTGCTGCCCTAGGATAATGGGGACGGGTGCGGCCACTGTTGCGGGCGGAAAGGCCGGAAGGCAGGACGCGAAACGGAATTGAATTTACACGGGTAAGAGAAATGGTATGAGAAATCTCCTGAAAAAATCAAAAAATAACCGAAGTTGCGCAGAGATTTGTAAAACCATAAGCTTCTTCGCTCCACTCAGAATGTAATATTATAATATTTAACAAGTTGACTGTCATTTGTACCGTAGGCCGCAATGTTGTAATCATATTTGTTTGGTACGCTTTGAATACCAATAATGGTACTCACACAGTTTAACTCTCAGGATCCGAGGGTCGATTTTGGTGCTCGTCATTTTTCGTAATTACGTCACTGAGAACCACTGTTGTTGCTCAATTTATGTGTTGGAATGAATAGAGGAGAACAAATTGAACCAATTCGTATAAACAACGCTATAAAAACAATGATAAAAGAAAAAAAAATTAGGATAAACAAATCAAATTTAATCGTATTTTAGCAAGTCACTTAAGAATAATAAAATTACAAAATTAAATAACCATAAATTTGTTCCTAAATTAGATAGGTATCTCGCGGTTATAACGTGTAAATGCCATTCGATATAGCAGTTCGCCATAACCCACTTCGCGACATAGGTATACATACATATTTTATTTATCTATAAATCGCGTGTAAAATTACCAAAATAAAGTCGGGATCTGCATCACTATTATCTAAATCAAGACTTTCATAGGAAGATTTGAGCGCTTGACGTATTTCTTCGTTATCCGTTACAACGACTGCGGTCAACGACAAGTCAGATGAAAATGAACGTAAACTATGATACGTTATAGGCATTGCGTACCGTATTATATTATACTCATATTATATGCCATCAACAATGCTGTAGGATGAGAAAATAATGAGAAAACAAAAAAAAAAAAAAAATCCAAGGCTTGTTTTATAATCCGTCCAAAAATACAACGGCGTCGAATGAAAAACTAGTGAGTACGTTTTTCGGTACTCGTGGCGTGTGGGAACAATTCTATAAAAAATACTGCGGCAGTCAGCATGTTAATAAACAATATTGTAGTTTTAATCTAAAACTTATAAGAAAACTAATATTTATAGAAAGTTATATTCATTGTAATGAATATTTAACACGCATATAATATGTATACTAGATTTGTAAAATAAAATAAAACTACTTATACTTGTTAATATTAAAAAATAATGAATGTATCACGAATACAGTTCCCCACACTTACCTTATCATCGGGGCTTCAAGATCCTATAGTTGCGCCACTGACCGGTTTTCGCGTATCTTCGGGTTAAGTTATGTATCCCGGGGTTAGACAATGTTAAATTCCTCCTATCCGCCCTTCGCCCATTAGGGAAACCTCGAAAACGCCACTGCGACATTTCTACGGTGCATTATTCAGCTAATGCGGTGAATTGACCGCGAAGGGCTGTTTATGTCGTTTCCGGTCTAAAAAAATAAAATTCACCGACGCGTACTCTTAATGAAACGTTTAGTCTGTAAATAACTTTTCCACCGAAATCCTAATTTCGATCATTGGAATCGATGTTGATCGCTTCTGGCAGAAAATATCTTCCACGTCGAGGAACCCGTTTTTCGATTTTCCGTGTGATTTTCATAACAACGAGTGGAAAACGTCAGGAAATAGGAATATCCGCGCAATAATGCCGGTTTGTATTAATTTCTATTTCGTTTTTGTGTTTCGATTCGGTGAAAAATTATCGCAGACACTTGACATTCTCACTGTACACGTTTATTTGCATTTTACGAACACGGCGAAATTTTCGACATTCGACAATTGCTGGCGTTTTTCGAATTATTCGCGCGGCCACACGAAATTGTCGAGGTTTTGTTTTCGACGATTTATTGTCGGTTTGATTTATTTGTTTATTTAATACTATAAAATAAACATTTGGTTTGGCTCCGTAGAAACGCACATAAAAGGTCCATTAAGATCACTGCATTTTAAACGCAGTTGTGCGACAACGGAATATTTTAATAATCTGTATAGGCACCAACCTAAAATTTCTGTTTTGACAAGTAAACATTTATTGAGTACCTAGGTAAAACAATTGAAAACCCGTCACGAAATATTTTTATGATGAGATTCACTAACATTATCTGTCCACTGCTACGCTCGCGTATTAGGTTATAATAATATTTAATAACAAATTAAGTTTCTAATATTCAAATAATTAAACACTCAATTTCGAATACAAAAATAATCGATAAAAAAAAGACGGAAATATTTTGCACGAGTATTATATGAGTGAGCCACTGTTGTGTAGGTAAGAAGTTTGGAAGATAAAATACAGAGGGGAATTTAATGTATATTAAATGTACGCGACGATTAATCATTGCGAACGAAAAACGATTCTAAGTTCGGTTGGTTAGGTAAACACATGTTTTGAAAGGTCGTTAATGTTAATGGTTTTCGTCAAAATTTGATGTTCAAATTCATATCGAAAAAAAAAATTATCTACATCAAAACTATCTGCTTGGAAAATCGAAATTAATGACCTCCCCAAAGTGCCGTCCCGGAAAAATTTCCTTTCCGATAAGACGATACATTCGATACACCGGAGTAAGATTTCTGGTAGAAGAAAAGTTGTACGCGTATAAAAAGAAAAAAATTAACACCAATTTAAAACCAGTTCACAGTTTCTTAATATGATATCCGTTTTAATTTCTAGAAAATAGACGCGATAACAATTAATATTCAACAGAAGGTAAAGAATTACCGTGCTGACCGTGATTCCTTATCGCGTAACGTGTCGTTTTATTGAATATCGATTGTTTTCACGCCTGATTAAAACGGCCAACTACGAAATAATTCGACGGATATGAATGCGTGATGCATCACGGTTTTCACAACATTATATATGTTACAAAATGGTCATTTTGAAAATTGTCTAAAGTGAATTAAATAAAAAGTTTTTTTTGCGTGTGTGTGTGTGTGTGTGTGTTTAAAGGACGAAAATTATCCGCTCCGAAATGTCAACAGTTTTTGTCAAATCGAGTTTTCTATTCAACAATACACAACATCGCATACCACGGAATAAATCCAAATATCATCTCTGAATAATTTGTTCAGAGTAATAGCGGTGATTGTACTGTACTGATAGCGTGTGCTATCCGCTCTAGGAAACGGCTGTAGACGAATCCCCCCCCCCCGTGCCCCGAAATAAATTTCCTCGCGTGCGCTGCCGCCGCGCACGGCGCGCGTTCAATTATTTCACCATGACGCGACGCGTACGAAATTGCGTCGTCGACATCTCGCGTCGCATCACGCCTGTGTATCGGCCGAACTCCGCTGAGAATCGTTTTTTTTTTTTCGTTTTACCTGTTGGCGACGGTTCGCCGCAGGCGCAGGCGCCCGTCGAGTTACCTGTGCGCGGTACACGACAGCGCGGTGCGCACCGGTCCGCGTTATCCCGTAGGACGGCTTTTTATTATTTTCTCGTCCCCCACCCGCCACCGATGGGCGAGCCCGCGGTCTCGAATCGACGGCGGCGGCGTCTTTCGCGGCGGCGACGGACGGGACGGTCACCTCGCCCGCGCACGCAGCCGGGCCGCGCGTCCGAGAATTATTATATTTCGCCCGGGGGGGAGGTACCAATAATAATAAAACTGCGCGCGCGAAACGGCCGCGAGTGTGTGCCGCGAGCGGCTCCCGCACGTTCCGCGGCGAGCGAGTACAACGTTGGCCCCTCCCCGGATACACGGGAATTCCGGCGCCGCCGCCGCCGCCTGCCGCCCGGATAAATATTATTAATATTTCAACGCCGCGCCGCCGCCGCCGTCCGCGAACTTTCCGCCCGCGGCCCGCGCCGCCCCGCGCGCGCGTGTGTGTTGTACACGCGTCCCCGAGCGGTCCTACACGCAAACACGGGCGTTATAATCCGCGGACGACGTGCGCCGCGCCGACCGTGTAAATCGGTTCGAAAAAAAAAAAAAAAAAAATCAAAAACGATTTTTTTTTTGTTACGAAACGCGCCCCCGGCGCAACAATGCCGCGTCTCGAAATCCGTGCGTACACAGTTTCGAGAAAATTCAGTCTCTCCACCCCTGCATTGACGGTTAGGCCCGTTGGTTTCGAAATTTCGCGATTATAATTTTTTTTTTTTGTATTTTTCATGCTCGCGGCGAAATCCCAACCGAACGGCCCGGAAAACTGGGTGTTCGTCGGTCTTTCGTTTCGAACCTGCAAACCGTTTTTACGGCAAAAATGTATAGTTTGGAGGAAAAAGCCATTTGAAGGTTATTCTGTGATGCGGCTGCATTGCAATCATTTCAAGATAGCCGTACACGCCGAGACGCATACATGACAGTGTTGCGCTGAACATGTCGGGGGGACGTTAACCGCCGGATAATCGTTTTCTGTGTGGCGCAAAAAAGCTACGAATCGAAACAAGGCAGTCTTGAATTTTCGACTTCAGTAATTAAATAGATAAATCTTAAAAGTCATAAAGTAAAATATCACCCCAAAATACCAAAATACTATTGAGACCGTGTTTCGCGTTTCCTAGGGCAGTTTATTTATTTTTTACTTTTTTCTTTACCGCGATACTAGAGTACGTCACGATAATTTTTCGGCTTGCCGATGACGCGAATATTCGAAAAAACGCCGGGAACGATTGTGTGATTTCGTCCCGAACGTATACAACGCGACCGCTTTATAATACTCTGCAGAATCGTTTTCCGAACGTTCAATGATTTACGGTCGTCGCTTTGGCGTTTTATTAAAAAAAAAAAAAAAAAAAAAAAAATACACGGATAAAAGGATAAAATAAAATAAATTTCTCCGCAACACGTATTCGGCTTTCGGTTTTTCGGGGACAGGGGCGAAGAGTCGAACGCAAATAATTAATCGAAAACCGATTCCCCGCGACTGTTTTTTCGTACGACGAACGAATATATTATTATGGGTGTACACGCACGACGTTATTAAACCGTATAAAATAGGCACTTATGTAAAACAAACGGACGGAAAAAAAATCCGTCGCGTGTCTTGTTTTTTCCGCGAGTCTTTACGGTAAACAAACACGAGTAAAAAAAAAAAAAAAAAAATGCCGTTTACTGCGGGTGTTTTGCACACCGCGTAACGCTGGGTCACGTGCCTCGTATCCCGCGCGACATACCGGCGGCGAGCACCGCAATACGATTCTGAGCGAAGTTCCGTTCAACATTTTTTTTTTTCAAATCGTATCGACATTCGCGCTTGCTATCTGTAAAACACGTCGCGGTTGTACAGCCGTTGCGACGGGCTGTATCGTGCGGTGGCCAACGCGAAATCGCTCGAAATCCGAGAACCGCGTTCGTAAGTCCGCGGCAATGACAATTGCGTGGTTCGACGGCAAAACGATACCGTCGCGACGAATACGGTAAATCGCGGTGTTCGTGTTGCGCCGTGGCCGTCCGGACCGGCGTCATTTTCAGCGTCGCCGGCGTACATTGCTGGCGACCGTTAACTAAATAACGCTCGCGTTATTCGGCGCGCCGATTAAATATTCGCGGAGTTATAAACATCGATCGGCGTGTTGTCGACAGCCGGCCGGGCCGCGCCGCAGCGAACGCAATACATAATATATTGTAGTGCGCTTGCCGGTGCGCCGGGACCCGCGCTCCGTTTTCGTTCCGACCGAACTTCCGGTTGAAAACGCATTCGGAAACGCTCGGCGTTCCGCGCGGCGCCGACAAACGGAACGGTGTCGCGAGAAAACCCGGAACGCGTTATCGATGGCGGCGGATGACGGCGTTTGTCGGACCGGCGCACGTGCAAGGGACGTGCGCGAAACGTTACGTATACGCGCCGCGAGCAGCATCCAGGGGACACGGCGTTAACGCAATGAACCCACCGAACCGCCGACCTAACTCTGCGGCTGTACGGATGTCGGAACGCAAAACGCGTTTCGCGGGAGACGTGTCATTGTAGCCGAGCGTTACGATCGCGGGGATGTTAAACGTACACAAACGGAACACGATTTCTGCGTCTGTTACACGTCTCTAGAGAACATGTCCGATTAACATTTCCGGGACGGACAATTGCGCAGCGGATAATATGCCGTTTCGATTGGTCGCATATGCGATCACGGCGACGGGCATGGTCAGTTGACGGGTCGTCAACGCGGGAGGTCACGCGAAAAAAGGGAAGTTCGGACGCGGAAGACCGCGAGGAGGCCGGGCGTTTACCGCGAATGTGCGATATGGTTTGGAAATGAAACGTCAAGATTGAACACTGTACAGGAGAACAAGAAGAAGATCGGACAATTATAATCGGCGTTTTGAAACGTACACCGATAAATACGAAGCTATTTTATGCAACGACTCCGGCACGGTTATTACGAACTCCGCGTATACCCTCCTGCGCGTTTTCCGTTCCAAGTATGTTTCGATGTAAATAATTGAAAACGGGACGAACGGAAACGAAATCGCGAATTTTTCCGCGCGATAAACCCATTCAGATAGCTGTCGCCTTAATTTATTTATTTTTTCCTATATACATATAGTAAAACGGTCAATACGCGCTTGCAAGCGCTTAATTATACGAACGGTTTGGAAAAACGATAAAAAAAAAAAAAAAAAATAAAAAATAAAATAAACGTGTTAACAAAACGAATCGGAAACGCGGTCATGTGTCTGTTATTCGTTTCCAGTCGATCTTCGCAAATAAAATTGCGGTCAGTCTAAAAACAATCACGGCTCGCGAAACACCCAACGGATACAATTTATATAAACTTAGTGACCCGATAGTAATCGCGGCTCAATCGACGACAACATCGCCGTGGACTATTCTTTTTTTTTTTTTTTTTTTCGTCCCCGTTATTGTTTGCTGTCCACATACAATTCTCCGCGTATTTTAAAGTGCCAAATCGATTAAAAAAACGGTATTAATTCGATCCTGTCATCTTTTGAAACGAACCGGGTGTAAAAAAAAAAAAAAATGATAAAACGTATAATTTATTTGCCGTTTAGAACGTTTATCCGTTTAAACGGATAGAAACGTATCGTTTTTTTTTCATTTTAACCCGTATTGCAATTATTCGCGATAACGAGTGCGCAATTAAAAACACTTTTTTTTTAAAAAAAAATAACAACCCTTATTATTGTCACTAGACATGTATAGATATTTTGATCCATTCACCACGGTTCTAAACCTAAAATTGACTGAGTTACAGATATTTGAAATTAGAAAATAATTTGATTTTTTCAACATTCAGAGTGTTTAGAAACTAACGGAGGAAACTTAGAATATTTTTACCAGATAAACAATTAAACATAAATAAAAACAATTCGTTACAAAGTAATTATCTTTTTATTTTATAACACAAATTTCCAAAATCCCGCGTGAACAAATCACTCAATACGCATGCGTGTGATTTTCAAATTTCAAAAAATTGTAACACGGTGAATGTGCGTATTTGATCGACTTGGTTT